ATTTACGTATCCCGATCGGTATTTCCTCTGTCATTCGTGACAACAATAATGCAAAGGAATAACACTAGGCTGGATACTTCAGAACATAAGATTTGTACATATCGAAAGTTAGCTTTCTATAATCCTTGGAAAGTGCTGCTAGAATCGTGAGGTAAACAGGGTTTGGAGACATATTTCGGGTTATATGTATATTATGCAAAACATCGGGTAAGGTTTCGCGCGAATATGTGGAACAATTATCTTTCCGACTTGACAGTGGGATTCTAGCAGCATTTTTAGGCATAAGAGATGTTTTTCAACTATACTATTTACTCAAAGAATCTATAAACCCCGGGGTAGTGTTGTTCTTCTAACTTTTTAATTAAGGAATATTTTGCTATTAATTAGCAGTCACGTGATGACGTCGTGGTGGTGCACTTCTTGGCCTCAAACACTCTGTTGTCTTTATGCAATAGTTAATGCTAGTTTATGTTTTATCGACGACTTTGATAAATTATCAAACTTACTTTTCCCAAAGATGTCTAAATTTCCCGAGAAATGATTTGTATGCTTCAATAACATACCCGCGTCTTGATAAGAAGTGAAAATGAGAAAAGTTTACAGACGACGGATGACAGGTGATACACGACAGACGACGGATGGCAGACGAACGCCGGACAATCATCGATCAGAAAAGCCCAATTGAGCCTTTGGCTCAGGTGAGCTAAAAAGTGGTTCTGATCTGCTTTTTAAGATGTTCTACATTTTGATTTTACTAGGTGGATGCAAATGCTAATTTTACAGCATGATAAAAGATTATAATGTTTTAAATCATGCATCTGCCTCCATCCAGCATATTCAAAAGTTTACAACATGATGTAAGCTGACCTGAGCCAATCCTGCACCCAACACTCTGCTGAACAGTTTCAAGTTTTAATGCTGTAAGTATCACTGTTATTCATAATTTATCTTGATATGTAAGTTCAGATTTGATTTCCATTCTCAGCTTCATGAATAACTGATACATTTTATATGGGGAGCAACTGTTCTTTCACTAAGTGCCCTAAACTAGACGTGGAAGTCATAGGTCTTTACGATTACATCTTAAAAACCCGAGAACACGTGTTGCATTTGCAAGATAAAAATCCCTCTCTGCGACTTTTGTAAGTGAATTGCATATTTCAAAATTTGTGGCACTTTACATGAAGAAGGTGGCGTCTCTGTTTGTGAAAAGAATTATTGAAGGGGACGTTAAAAGCGTACAGTCAATCAATATTCATCATATAAGTGGGTAAAATGAAAAAAAGCCCAAGAATATAGTCAATGAAAATGAAAAAAAAAATCCAAGTTATTTGCAAAACTTGAATATAAGAGTTTAAAACAATGTATAAAGTTGAAAAAATGTTCATTTGCATTTCTAGACTATTTCACTAAACAAACCTATTCAAGTATTTACTTATTTGGCATATCATGTTTGTTCTTTTTTTCACGCAAAAGGAGTGAACACATTATCTTGGTCATTAACCAACAATGCAATTTAAAATTTGCGCAAGGGGACATACAGTTTAAAAAGAATAGTTCTATTCAATTTTTAAAAAACTATGAAATTCATCTTTTAGCGAAAGAAAGAATAGTATAGAATCCTTAAATCTTCACATAATGATTCATGACAAGCTTCATTCATCGTAGAAATAACGCAGTTGTTTATGTTTGAATTTCTAAACTTTTCCGAAATTTGTTTGATTTTACACAAGTCACAAGGCTGTAAGTTACCGGAAACTAGAGAACTCATAAAATTACATTTTTTTCGCAGTGATTTCAATATATAAAAACAAAGAAAAGACATACAAATGGCATTAAATTAGAGTAGACTCTCAATTCTGAATATTTTCTCGAAGACAACACAATTATCTACAAACAAGTTTTGTATTTATAACTTATTTTATAGATAAAAAGGGGATATCTACTCCTCCTTGGCACCTGATCTTCCTATTGGAATTTCCAGGGGACCGTGTTTATGCTCTGTTCAAATATTTATATTAGTTTTAGGATCGGTTAGCTCGATCACTGACCTTTATCTTCACCTTTCTAATTGTTTCTAGTACTTATTCTATTATACACTAGACAAAATTGCTAACGCACTACTTGTTATTCTTACTTGTGATTTAAACATTTGCCTAATTGATACTAGTATATTTAATATGCCATCTTTTCAAATACAGTGGAATTGACAAAATGTCTTGGTGACATGACAAGAACCTTAAATAGCCTTCTTGACCTAAAATTAATTTCCCAGGATGCACTGCGCATCGTTTTTGCCCAGAGATGAAGTTGATGAATACTGATGATGGTGGATGGGATTGCAACAGAAGCAGCCTCTCAGTTAAAAATCAAAGAATATACATCGATTAACTATCATATCGCCAAGTAGTCATCCAGTGCCCCGGTGTCCGTACCCAGTCAATCCAACTTCCGGTTGTCCCAATTAAGTGGAACAATCTTGAAGTTGTCGTGTGGTGCTTACTTAATGCCGTGGCTATCTATAGGGAACATTTTAATGTTTGTTTATCTATTTGCAACAATTTTTTACTAGAGAAATGAATAATCTTTTAACTGTATTAATTCTTTAAAAATATCTCCAAAGTAACTCCCTGCAGAAACCAAACTGAATGCTTTTGCACGCTCTTCTAGGGTCAAACGCCGCATAAGGTGTAATTTTTTTTATGAGTTTTTAATTGGTACAAACATAAAGAACACAAATACAAAGAAAAAAATTGAAATTTATAACTCCAAAAAAGCATGCGTACTATTTTCAATATTTCTTTGGAATGGTTACGCTTCAGTTAACATTGTGGTTGTTTATCAGTTAAGACATTTAAATGCCTCAGTTCTTACTTAAGTAACATAATTATATATCAAATACATAATAAACAAGTTTTGAAAAGTAAAATATATTAGTTTTCTTTGGCGGTGCATTAGCAATTTTGTCTAGTGTACACTTTCAGGAATTAACATGAAGTTACCTGCACATACAATTTATTGCTCTCCCTTTTCTGTAGCTAAATTGTACTTGGATTTGGTTTCATAGATACTAATTCTGAGAGAGACAGCTTTGTTTTCTGACGAGTACAGAAGAACAACTCGGTATAGGAATCGAATCGCGTCCCCATCATTTCCCAATCGACAGTCTGTATTGCCAGACCACCAGCCAATATATAGAATTTACCAGTGTTAGTCTTCCAGACCACCAGCAAATAAACGGAAGCTTATAATAGAACTTTACTTCCGATATCCATTCTTTATGTTTCATATAGCGATGGAGATGGCAAAAAGAAAATAAAACAGATCACCCCCGCCATCCATGTCGTTTGATAAGCACAACTTACATATAGGTTAAGCAAATTTCGTTTACTTTTTCTTATCTTATCCAAGTTCGTTTTTTTTTATTTACAGAATATTCAAAATCTTCTTTTATTTTTAGAAGAAAATGACACTATATTACAATATTTCCTATCAATTCAGCAGCGGAACGTGGCTTTCAACACACGAAAAGAATACAACGTTATCTTTTTTTTAATTATAAAGTATGTGTTTATGGATGAAAATAATTTAAAAACAAGTATTTAAACAAACTAATTTTTTGGTAGCAAAAATTTTAAGGCAAAAAATGGCAGGAGCATTTCTAAGATGTTAGAATAAGCGATATAAAAAAAAGGTTAAAAACATTAAATTACTGTTTTCAGAGACACTGTAGGCAATGTTCATACATTTTATTTGTGTGATATTTGAAAATGCACCAAATATTAAATTGATTATTTTATGTTATTAAAAGAAATGACAGTTTAAAGCACATTATTCAGTTGTTTTTACTGCAAAGTCATGCACCGATACACACTATGTAAACAATATATTTATTGTTGGTTATTGGGATGGTTATTTACAATATTAACGGAACTAATTTCTCAATTGGAGAAATTTGTAGGCTCCTTTCATTTAATAGATCTAGACTCAAGTAGAGTAAGTTGACAATTGGAGAGTTGTTTGACACTAACGTTCTTCTATATGTACTTTTAAAGTTGATCTACAACACACACTTAATATTCTTTATATAGAAATCTTATCAGGTTTTCTTTTTTTTTTTTTTTCATAAGAAAGCAGTACATAAAGTTATATTGAAAATATTCTCTTCAAGAACAAATGCACTCTCTTAATAAGACACTTTGCATCTTCATGTATAATTTCTATACATATTACTCGAATACTAGTAGAACCTTAAAACACTTTCTGGACAGTTAACAATGTAGTGATGTTATGAACAATTCTACTTTTGATCATTTTTTCTAGTACCTATATAAGTAATCGTTTTAGAATTAAGTATGTTTAAAGAAGAAAATTAAATGTTCCAAATCCAAGCTAATGTAACTGGTCATAATGAGAAGGTTGACTTAATTGACCCAGTTCCTGGTATTCTGCATTGTCTTCTGCTCTCTCTCGGGAAAACTCTTCCGTACTTTTCTCCTTGTGGTTTTGTCCCTCGTTAATCTTATTTCTGCAACTCCTAAAATAATCATACAAAAAAGGAAAAATTATAACAACTTACACTTAACTTCATATTGATACCCTTACAGCATAATAAATCCATATGTGTACAAGTAATCGTAAACGCCTATTACTTGAGATAGAATTTGTAACTAAAGAACACACTTACCGGAGAGTTAAAAATATGTTTAAAATAAGACTTAAACACAGAACTGCTAGGACTCCGTACAGATATGAACAACATGGACTGTTTCGATCAGGATTTGACGATACATCAATCACTGAATCAAAAAAAAAAAAAAAAAATACAGTACGTTTTAAATCTTACATGTGTCGTACACACTCATCAAGAGGGTATTCAGTTAATTTTTAGTCAGATGATTTCTTGTGTTTAAAAGGTTCAGCGGTAATATCATCACTAATTGCGATAAGTTATCCGAATTTTCAATACTTAACATTGCAGCCATAATAAAGGGGCTAGATCACAGTCTCGGTCGGTTTAAATCAACTTCTTTTGCTAAAAATTAAAGATCTTTCATACATTCATGAGTGGACAAAAACACGTTTACACACAGGATGCACTTTACATAAATTTCGACTCCGGTTAATGTACAGAGTTAGCTGAATTCTTGAGCACGTTAATATACTTTTTTTAATCAGAGAAGAAACCACGTGCGGAGAAAAAGCACAGATTCTTGCTGCCACTTTTCATTTTGATACAGATTTTAATTTTTTCACCACCTCTCATTTTAAATTTTCTCGCTACGATAACGACATATCTGTCGACTTCGGTAACAGCCGAGTTACTTGTGGAATTGGTTCTCATGTAAATATAAATAGGGTCTGTGCTCTGTTTTGAAAATGTAAAGTCTAGATGTCTCAAGTAAATATTTTCGTCAGGTTTTGAAATTTATATTTGTAGCTATGTTAATGCGTAATAAAACGCTACCTTCATGCCACTTAAAAAATATTTATGAAAGTTTTACCAGCGTATCCTTGCCCCTAAAGTCTACCAAAAGTTCGAAATGCAATTATGATACTTCAGTGAATCAAAAGGAAAGGGTTTTTTTTCCTATTTATTCAAGTCATGGTTTGATTTAAGAATTATTTTAGTTTAGTAAAAACATTACTTGTGTGTGATATATATTTTTAATACTGTCACAGGAAGAAATAAGACCTTTCAGTAAATACTGAAAAGCGACTTTCAGTCACTGAAAGGCAGGTATATTTCAGTGACCCTTCAGTTACCTTTTAACCACAATTCAGGCACATATAAGTCACCATTTAGTGGACACATTTCAGTTACTTTTCCATGCTCTTTCTGTCGTCTTTCAGGTGCCTTTCAGTGACCTTTCAGTTACTTTTCAGTTATATTTTCAAAAATATCAGATATCTTTCAGTTGTTTCTTCTTAAATAATCTGCTTATTTTTTAACAACACGATTGAATCAGGTACGTATATACGTCCCTGATTGAATAAGCTTTTGAAAATATTTATCACAGATTTAGCCATTTATTATTTTTATTTAATTCTGATACGAATAATGGATCATTATATTTTCTTTCTCTAAATTTATTTTCCTGCAACAAATTAGAAGTTCTAAAATAATTTTAATTTCTATGAATCCACAGAAGAATCGAAATATATTTAACATATCTCTTATTATATTTAGACATATACTTAATAGTCTATAATCCCAGTTTAAAATTTTAGTAAACAATTTAAACATAATTAAACAACTAGCCATTACCAATTCAGCGTATAAATTTTCTACCTGAAAACTTTTACAACAATAAGAATAACAGGTCATCCTACACTCAAGGCCGTATCTATTATTATCACATTCTGAAAAGTATCGAATGCCTTTGGTGATTATTTATTTAAACAGTAAAATGATTTCTTTGTTTGATAGTACGGGAATTAACGTCGCAGCTAGTGCAGCAAAAATGAATAACCCGCGTTAACTTTTTCTTTTTGAAAAAGGTGTAACTGTTAATTCTAATAACAGCCAAAGAAAGACATTCTATTGTTTATATTTACATCTGTATGAAATATTATGTAAAGTAGATTTAAGAACGTTAAATATTCTATTATCTATACGTACTTCATTGAATGTTTCATCGATGGGAATGTTCATTGTATAAAAAAATATATACACTTGGCTCGAAAAACAGGTTCTAATCGACGTTTACTGATTACTCTCTCTCTCTCTCTCTCTCTCTCTCTCTCTCTCTCTCTCTCTCTCTCTGAGGATGGTTTACATTTACGTACGTTCTTCACATCGTGAACCTTTGTAACCAGCAACACATCCAAAACATGTCCCATCCAGTATGTCACAACGTCTCTCCTGACATTTCTGTGGACAGGGTAAATCGCAATTTTCTCCGTAAACCCCAGTGGAAGGACATCCTTATTGAATAAATATCAATGATAATAAATGACTATATTCACCCTATTGAAAACATCAAAGCATTTTATCTTAATATTATTTAAGGATTATAGTTTTATTTTTTAATTATTATCATAATTAGTAAAAGCTCTGAATAGTTAATGAGGAAATTACATTGACTTTTCAGTGATTTTTTAGTCACCGAATACATATCAGTGACCTTTCAGTTACATTTCAGCCACAATTCAGACATATTTCGGTTACTATTCAGAAAACAGAGTTATCTTTAATGGCCTTTACCTGACCTTTCGGTCACTTCTTAGTAATATTTGTTATCATTCTGTCTACATTTTGAAAGGTTTCAAGTGATTTTCATTGAGAAATCTATTAGTTTTCCATATTAAGCATATGATAAAATTATGGCATTATTGAATAAATTTTTAAAGATCTTTCTATTGTTCTTCGTTTTGAACAGGGTTGGCCGGGAAATACCAGTAGTGGGAATTACCAGTGGTAAATACCGGTATTTCCCGTCCTGGGAAATACTACAAATTTTCTCTAAACTGGGAAATATTGGGAAATACAAATTTAAAGATTTTTATTTCTTTGATTCATTCAGTCTTATACAAAATTCAAAAATAAAATTTACATAGTAACAGAAGATGAATAATATTGATTATGTCTCAAATTGCAATTTTAACATATTCAGAATGTATCACTACTCCAGGTCCCATACCCATAAGCATTCCAAAACATTTCCCTGACTGTATGAAACTGAAGTTTTACAATTCAAGTTTCTTTTCAGTTTTGTAAAATTATTAAGTTTATTAATAATAAATCCAAGAACAAAACAAACTCATTTTAATCCTTCTTTAAACAGAGTTCTTACAATCAATCATGTTGTTTTAACAAATTGCTCTTGACAGTTTTGTGCTCCTGTTTTAAGAGATAATTACCTTGAGTAGAACAGAATGGCTTCTTAGGTTTGATATTATTATCTATTTCTGTACTGTATCTGTTTGTATCATATTGTATATACTGATAAGCTGCAAAGCTTAAAGTAACAGTAACAAAGAAAGAAAGATATTTAGACCATACTGTACATTTAACAATTCACTTTAATAGATTCTGATCTTTTTTTTTAGCTAGTACATAAAAAAACCCAATGGGATCTTTGGGTTCATTGGACCTTTATAGACTACATTTGACTCAAGCATGAAACAAATGACACTCATGACTGGTATATGAGTATGCTGTGTTATGATTATATAAATGAATTACTTGGAAATAGCTTTTTTTAAATCAGGGTAGTGATACCAGATAGATAATTTAACCAATAAGGGGTACTACATGCCAATATGAATGAAATATGGAGTTATTTCTTATTTCCCAGTATTTCCCGGGAAATACCAGTAATTCCCGGAAATTACCAGTATTTCCCACCGTCCTGGGAAATATGAGTATTTCCCAGTTTTTTGCCAACCCTGGTTTTGAAGGAAATTCAGATAGAAATTTACATATTGACATGTTAGTGTCTGATGATAAATTTAGTCTGTTTAATTAAATTTCAAATTGTTTGTAAAACTAAAAAGCACATTACATAATATAATTAGGTGCTGTCATATGGCATTAATACCTGCATTTAGGTGTTTTCCTGTAAATGTTCTCCCCTTCATTGTTTGGTAAGCAGAGAGGAAGCCACAATAATTCTATAATAGTTTCTAGACCATACCTGGCACTGGATTTGCATCACCATAACAGTACTGCTGTTACCTCACCATTATTGGATTGCATGTGGTGTACAGTAAACATGCTGGATTATTATAAGAATTCATAGAACTTTTTAAATCGTAGGAATAGAATGGGGTAATACATAAATAATCTGAAATCGATAGTGGTCTAGACCTTAAAAGGGGTTAAAGTTCATTGGATGCAGCATGCAAGTCATACCCAATGCCTTTAACTTGAAACATTTAAATACATATCTATCTTTAATTTAAATCAAAAAGCCCTCACGCCATCGTTGAACTAACGCATTAACCTATATAACCTTGTGCCTTATGTCATTATGTATGAAATAGTTTAAAGGTCATGGCCCCTGGAGGTCATTCCCATCCCCCATGAAACTGGAATTATTACAAATTGACCTGCATCAAAAATGCACCAATCCGCTTAACATTTAACATTTGGCTACGGCACAAATTGTAAGGGGAGCTCTGAAAATCAGAATTTTTTGTACAAAAACATTATTTTTCGACCCAAAGTTTGTCCTACAGTATGAAAAGAAAAATTCAGAAACCTTATTGCACATCTACAGGACACTACCAATCATTGTCCAAAAGATCATATTGGTACTGCGTAAAATGAAAGAGGAGTTTTGGGAACCAGGTTTTCTAGAAAAAAAGTGATTTTTGACCCCAATTAGACCTTCAGGGGTAAATTTAAAATTCAGAAACCTTATTTTACATCTACAGGAAACAAAGAATCATCAATATACATGATCTTTCTTTAGAAAGTGTGGGTATAAATAAAGGTATGTTAAGGCATGTATATAATTTTAAGGGTGTTTTATAAAACGACTGGTCATGTAAACCAATATTTTATGTTTAGAATTTCATTTAAAAAAGTGTAAGGATTATATACCGTATAACGGGTATTTTCTGCGGTTGGAAATTTATGCGATTTGACCCCTGAGAAATAGCAAATTATTTTCTGCGTTTTCAGTTTCTGCAGTTGCATTATACCGCAAAAATTTATTTACGGAATATGAACACCAAATTCTAAGGATTTGGCAGGACATGTCATGCTTACATTTTATAAATTCATTTAATGATATGTAGATTGGAGGTGCATGAGAAGTGATACATAGCTCCTCTATCTTTCAGTTAGTTTTCGTAAACTAATTTTAAAAACCATCCTTTTACGTACCAACATTCGAAAGCATAATTCTTTTTCTTAGAAGAAAGAGTAAAAAGATATGAAATAACATAACCAGGTTAAGTGACATACGCACCACTTATCAAACTTGCACCTGTAAAATATCTGAATTCATATTGAAGGAATATTTTGCGATTGAAATTTTTGCGAATTTGTCCTATCCGCAAAATTCCTCAAAAATTGGACAACCGCATAAAATACATGTTTAACGGTATTTGAATCACAATACAATAAATTCACAGGGAATAATCTTTTATTTTACCTGTAAATCTGCAGCTCTAAGTTGTTTTTTTTTTCCTTATTTATCAAAGATACGACAACAGGCAAACCATGACGTCATGTTACAATTGCACCAATGTAAAACGTTTTCAGAGTGAACGTGAATATGACTTTGGTACGTTAGAGATTTACATATATTGTTGAAATTTCTAAAGTCATCTTTTGTCTCAATTGCTCTTTAAAAAATTGTTATAAGAAATTTCCATCATTGGTGGACAATTAGAAATTATGTTTGCTTTTAATTCGATCATACTGGGATGCCAGTAAGACAACAAATTTAGACCTAAAGAGCGTGTGACTTCTGTGTAAGAATCGTTTTTGGAAACCTGAAGAATTCATTCAGAAGTCAGTTCACTTTAAATATGACTCATGATCTCAACGATGTTGTTTGAAACCAGTATAATACAAATATATCTTACCAGATGTGACATTTTAAAAGAAAATCGTCTAGAACAAAAATAAACTAGAAGCTACCGCTGGTAGTGTAAAATAAATGTCTAGCAAACTTGTCTTTGATTTTCTGTCTTTTTCTAAATATAAAGACAGAAAATATGGGAAATTGTTTACTGCAAAATCAACGTTGAGGCAAAAATACCATAACCAGTAGTGGTGGTTAAGGGAGGTAGGGGGAATTTACAATGCAATTAAAACTCGCAATACTTCTAGTTAAGTTGTGTCTCATAACATATATTTTAAGCTTTCTTAATTTAATATATGCATTCTGCGTGCCCCCGTCCCTCACTACCAACACCAGATATGCCACTTGTTGAGGTTTAAAATTATATTGGACATTATTATTCTTCGATCTATTGTTGTTCACCGTCACGGTAGCTCAATCGCCAGAGCGCCCGCTCCGTGATCTGAATGTCGTGGGTTCAAATCCCGGCCGCTACTGACCTAAGTCGATAAAAATAAGAAGCAACTGTTCCTCGACACTTTGAAGTGAAACTTGTGGGTCCTTCGGATGAGACCTTAAAAACAGAGGCCTCGTGTCAGGACAGACATGGGCACGATAAAGGCCCCTCACTGCTCAAATGCCCTGAGTAAAGGTCTAAATTTGAAGACCTTCACTGGTATATGGTGACATCTCTATATTAGCCTTTCACCTTTCCATCTGCCTTTCATTCTTCTTTATATTGCTTGATTTGTAAAATTTTGCAAAAGAATACTTTTCTTTTCTGTTGGAAGAAGTGTTTTGAGTTTTAATTTCCTTTGCAGTTATTTCAAATTCTTATGCAATTGTTTTGCAAAAAGCATTTTTATTGGCTAGTTCCCTGAATGTTTGATGCAATAAAATGAGCATTAACGAGAGTGAAAGCTTTTGATTGTGATGTCATAATAGAGCGAAGCAAAAACACAACGCTTCGAGACATATTTCATGAAACAGAACTTAAACATTAGATAAGATGCATAATTTGCATAAGAATGGGAATAACTTTCTTCTAATTTGGTATTTGCGACCATTAAAACTAATTTAACGGTCGCAAACATCCGTTTTACCGGCTTGGACGTAATCATTTTAATTTACTACCATTGCAATAGGAAAATATAACCAAAATATTCTTTATTCAAAGTAATTCAGTATAAAAAAGTTAAAAAAAAAACAAAATAAATTAAAATACCGAAAGTTCACTAAACTGTATCTGCAATTAAGATGACTAAATGACACTGAAAAATCATTGAAAGATTCCTTTTAGTAACTTTTCTGTGATACTTGATAGGCTATTCAGTAACCATTTCTTGTCGCATATCCGGGGTGTTTTTTCTTTGATCTCTCTGTGGTGATATATGGCATATCACAAATGCAAAAATACTTCCCACGCCCCTTCATATATCACTGCACGAGACAGAAATCGGGTCATGAGAAAAAACAGATTTTATTTCATAACTACAGAAAAATGAACATTAACTATAGTTATTTATAGTAAACTTTTGTTAGGGTTTTCAGGAAATAAAAATATATTCTGATTAATAAGGTTTTGAACAAGATCAATTTAAGGAATTTCTTCTCTTCCTGTAATTAACTTCCAATAAAAAAATCTTTTCACTTCAAAATTTTTTCACTTAAATGTGTGATATGAATATTACGGAAGCTCATTGAGGCCTGTTCAGAGAAAGAAATATTCTTTATTATGTTTAAACGCAATAATTATTGCTTCAAACGCAAAACAATGTGTTTAATCGCAATAATCTTTGCGTTTAAACGCAGAAGATTGCGATTTATTGAAATGTATGCGTCTAAACACAAAATACTTTGCGGGCTTCCGTAGAATATACCTATGCCGAATTAGATTGTTTTATTTTGTCTTCTTACCATAAACTTCAAGTTCACAGATTTCATTATATGCGTACTGAGAATATCCAATGGGGTAAGAAACTCCTGGAAGTCTTTCATTATAATATATGACGTACTGCCCATGGTTTATACATTCTATTGTAGTAGTATTCGGTACTGTAGCCTTGGTGTAGTTCGTGTCTTTAAAGCATAGATAACCACCATCTTTGTAAGTTGTGTTTGATATGTAAACCGAGAAACCAAGCACGCGTTCCATGTGTCCATTATTTTCGTCTAGAGAAAAGTGATTAAACTTCTATTATGTAGATGTAATATTGTCAAAGACATATAAGTTTCCTAATGAAAGAAGATCATTATGTTGATGAGTCTGACAAATTTGATCAAGAGACCTTTTCAACGGCAACATTTTAATGTTTAATGTCTAAGATAAAATTTCAGTTAAAGGTTTCATCCTTGAAATCACATTGAAGATTTTGAGAATTAATGTCAAAAGATTAGAAAATTAAAAAACAAACCATACCTCTGGCCTATAAAACAAAATTACAGATATTACAATTACACTTAGCACATTACACTTTCATTGTAGAAAGCTAAAAAATTCAACCAAACTAGAATTATTTCGTATTTCTTTATTTCCAAAGCCGTTTTGAATTTTTTATCGGATCTTTTACTTATATGCATTTTAAACTGGGCACAATATCGAACTCAAAAGAGAAATTTTAGTTTATATAAATTGATCAGTACTTCCTTTCCAACGGACATTTATCTTACAAATAATGCAAAGAGGTGATGCAAAATATGCTCAGTTTAATATTTCTTCAATGATAAATACAGTATATGTAAACCTTATACATATTTATCGTATATTCAAGATTGCCGCAGAATACGCATATAAAAAAGTAGTCTTTCTTATATCTAAGAAATTCAGCATTGAATATTTCATGAATTTATATAATATACTGAAACGCAAAAGAAACGCAACAAGCAGTAATCTACAAATATTTGAATTTTTTAACTATTGAGTTTCAAAAATGAGTACATTAAGGTTAAACTTGATTTGATAATATCAGAGATTTGATAACAATGTTAAATGATTATCTTTTAACTTTAGAAAGTAACACATGACTGTTAAAACACCCCACCCCCACCCCCCAACCCGGCCATTCAATTACAGCGTGCAAGTCTGCCATGCACAACAGTTGCAGCTTGATTTCTACGATGCAGTAGGTTCATCAATCTCGAGTTCTGAGCGAAAGAAATATTCTTTGCCATTTTTAAATGCCTGTTTTTCAGATGATGAGGTCGAATTTTCTCTAGCCAAGCGCAGTGTAGGAACCCTTGGACTTCCTGTCCAAGGAATGTCATTCATGCTAATGATACGTAAGAGCCTGTTGAGGCGTGATGTGGGTCATATTTGCATCTGTAACTCTCCATCACCTTTATTTTGAAATTTTCCGACTAAAGCAATGGAAATGCGTACTTTAGTCATTTTCAGAAAGCCTTGGCATCGCTTACGGAAAAGAAAGGGGATTTTTTTTTCGGAACATTGCTGCATTACTTATGATGAACAGATACAAATCCTTAAAACCCCATATTATTGCCAAATGTTTTGTTAAACACGCAATTTTTGATTTCTGTTAAGCAGACTCAAACTTAACTTCCGCTAATGGTATGAAAATCATTCAACCGTTAAATTACCGATCATTACAAAGTTGAAGATGTCCTTACTTTTCAGATTCACAATTATATCCTATATGTAGTATTTCCCCCAAAAATATGATGTTGCGTTTCTTTTGCGTTTCAGTATATATGAAATTACATTAAATTTAGAAAAAAAATCACAAGATTAAGAAGTTCTTTGGAATACGAACTCGGTTGGTCACGTGATCAAATCCTGTGATGCCAGAAGAGCTTCTCAGTAGATTTGATCGCGTACCAACCAAGTTCATTTCCCAGTGAACTTTTTAACCTTTTTATTCAATACTTATGTTTACATTTGAGACGAATATTCGAAAAAAAATATTACAGGAACGGCCTGCCTTACCACTATGTTGTGATACGCGGTGACCTAGAACTGGAAGTTTTTGGTCATGAAAGTTTGCCTAGCTCCAACATTTGAATGTTTACATTGATGTTTAGCTATCAAGTTCAGGAAATCTCTGTTCATAATATGACAAAACAATGATCGGTATTGAGATGGAGTCAAAAGCGGTGGTGTCGTCTGTTTACATACCTTCAACGGAATTTAGGGTTAAGAAGGTAAGCGCGATTTTTAATTATTTCAACCATTCTTCACACCGAAGGAAGATCTAATGGACACCTATTGATTAAAGAATATCCATATGTTTTAATTGTTTTATCTTTATCATTGCTATCAAGCTAGAAGTTCCAAAACCAGTTTCACTGTGACATAAATATGTACATGTAGGCAAGATACCATCTCGCCGTGGGATTTGCTCACGCTATGATCTCTGACCCCCGAATAAGTTCATACAAAATTGAATATATTTTTTCTTTAATAAATTCATCTAAGGAAAATATTTGCAATTGTAAATATCAGTTAATATTTATGTTTTATACAAGGAGTCACAAAGAAAAACATATTTTAAGCGGATTACAATTATAAACGTATATAAGAAGAAACGGAATGCAAAAATATGGATTTGTTCAACTTCATTACAATTATTTAACAAAAAAAAAATCAATTTTTAAACCAGTGGTTTATACAGTACCCCACAATAAATCGTCCGTCCTGAAGTAAATAGTTATATGATGTATACTGAGAACACCTCCTACATCCACCCACCAGGTTGCAGTTCTTTTATTATTGTCAGATATCGTACATTGTTCTCCAGCAGCTGTCCGGATAGAATACTTCCCATCCACTGCTTTATCCGCTCCCCATGACGAGCTAGGAAACATATACTGCTGCCAGGCAGGCTTGCGTAATGCAATGTTGTCTGTAAATAAAAATGAAACTATTCTGTAGAAAAACATCCTATTATTGGGTTAAGTATTATGTCTTCTGATGCTTACAATTTTAAACGGCTAAGAATTATTTAAAAAAATTTAAGTTTCAAATAAAATGTTCAAGTCAACACAGTAACCATAATGTATGTTGAGAGTGGTATTAGGAATTTTAACAAACGACGCTGGTCTGTATGCTTTCTTTTCTTTTATGAGGTTTTACGTGTACACTGATGAATACAATTTTGTAAACAGGTTTATATATGGAACTGATGGCTGCTTATATTATTAAGAGTTGGTAGAATGGTGCAGAATAATGTACACAATCGACACTCACTAAACATGAACGTCATGTCTACGATTGTCAACTCATGTGAAAATGTCTAGTTGACCGTCAACTATTCGTCACTAGCAGTCAACTGAATACTCGAAAACAGTCGTCAACTGAATACTCGAAAACAATTGACCACTAGGAGTTGAATGCTTTTCTGAAAAGCTGTCAACTGTTTTGCATAAAAAAGTCAGTTGACCGTCAGTTGACCGTCAATTGACTGCTTTTTATCGAGTTGACCATTAGTTGAATGCTAATACTTTGAAAATTTCATGCGAGAAAAGAGTTGACCATTGTTGAACACTCCAACTTTGTGAAATCTTGCAGAGTTAACTATAGTTGACCACTCAGTGTTAGAAAATCCCTCTGACTCTATTTTTGTTGGGTTTGGAATGACATTATTATAGATCGGGTTTGCAATTCAATAATTCTTACAACAATCTAGATTTGAATCAAGTAGCGTGTGTCAGTGTGTTGTTGTTGTTGTACAAAATTTAAGGATTTTTCTTTCTTTATATTTTGTTTAAAAGATATTAGAAAGTCATGATACTGTAGCTACTGTAGGTTCCTACTACTTGTACTTGTTAAAATATTAAACGAATTCCGATAACTTGTTGTGCATTAAGTGTTTTGTTGTGTTTCTTGTTGTGTTGTTGGTAAGATATGCCATTGCTTTAGACTAAATCCACTTTTTCTGCACAGAAAACAGAGGAGTATTCAACTTATGATCAACTGCAAAGAAAATAGCGGAGTATTCAACTAATGGTCAACAGCAAAGAGAATAGAGGAATATTCAACTAATGGTCAACTGCAAAGAAAATAGAGGAGTATTCAACTAATGGTCAACTGCAAAGAATATATAGGAGCATTCAACTAATGGTCAAGTGCAAAGGATATATAGGAGCATTCAACAGTGGTCATCTATATGCAAATGAGTTAAACGCTCCCTCATTTGCCTGGCAAAAATTCAACTAATGGTCAATTGACGGTCAATTGATCGTTAACGAACCTTCAACTGAATACTCCGATTGAATTCTTATAGTATGTTTTCGTATGAGAAAACACACATATCGAATAAGATACTATGTCAATTCAAAGAAAAAAGGGAGGGGGCAAGAAAAGAAAGTATTTGCCTTTTTTCTCTCCTTAATGATTCTTTTACATATTAAAACATATCTAATATGTATATATTAAACAAAAATATCTAGAATTCGAATCTTTTAATTCATACAATCTTTGATGTAAGTTATCTTTTGTGATTTGTTTCTTATAGGGTTTTAAGAAGTGGTCAAGGTTTCATAACACAAACAAAAATTTGATGTATGGATTTGGGCTTATTTTGAAAAGAAATAACAAAGATAATAAATTCCTAGAATAAAAAGAAATAGTAGGTATTCTTTGGTGTTCAAATATGCGACTTTGTGCCATTTTCTGTGTAAATCTATGCATTTTTTGCACACATTTTATGACATTATTACGAAAATCTTGTAATATTTCTACATTTTATCTAACAAACATTTTTTTAAGTTATCCATATGAAGATAAACCTATAAAATCCATTGCTGATTTCTGAAAAAAATTGTGTTATTTATACTTAAACTAACATGATGAAATGTAATAGCCACATGAAATACCAGTTTTATATACCACATTCTTGATAAAGGGAATATAATGCAATGGAATTTCTGCAAAGTAAAAAAAGTAACACTTTTTGTAAAGTCATTCAGGAAAATAAACCCCTAGATGGACCAAATTGTACTTTTGACCAAAAGGTGAATTCCGTTTAAGTATCTGCCTGTTCGGAATATCATATGTTTCTGCTTTTTTTATTTCAAAAATGTACATTTGACAATTTTCCATCTTTAAAAGAAAAAAGAAGCACCAAAAAAATAAATATTTTTTATCTGATTGAAAGTAGTAATAGATTAAGCTACATGATCCGAAGACTCAAATGAGATTTTCTGATCTTTTTGTCTGTGTGTCGTCTGTCAACAATATTCTCCTTTTGGCAAACTGGGCCACTGAACCACTGAGCAAATTTTAACCAAACTTTTCACAATGCATTCTCTTGACAATACATATTGTTGTTTTAGTGTTTATTGGCAACAATATGCACCTATCCTCACTGCATATATTGTCGTCCATCGACACATATTGTCACCAGTTGAAAAAAAATATATATGTACATATTGTTTCTGGCGAATATATGTGCCGATCCTCATTGTACATATTATCGTGCCACAGTAAGGGTTGATTATGAATTTGTTTTGTAGTTTTTTAGCTCAATGAGCCGAAGCTCAAGTGAGCTTTTCTGATCGAAGAGTTTCCGGCGTCTGTCGTCTATGGTGTGTTGCCTGTCGTCTGTCGTCTGTAAACTTTTAACATTTTCGACTTCTTCTCCAAAAATCTGGACCAATTTCAACTAAACTTGCCAAAAAGCATCCTTGGGTGACGGGGATTCAAATTTGTTTACTGGAAGTGCCACACCCTCTTTCAAGAGGAGATAATTAAGAATTTGTGAAAATTTCGTGTCATCTTTTTAGAATCTTCTTCTAAAGAACCACTGGGCGAGAAAAGGAAAATTTTGTGAGAGCTTTATTTCATACAATAGATTCAAGTTTGTTTATATCATGACCCCCAAGGGTAGAGTGGGGCCACGATAGGGGGTCAAAGTATTACATAGGGATATATAGGAAATATCGAAAAGCAATCTTCATCTCAAGAACAGCAAAGCCATTATTAGTCATATCAATGTTGAAGCATCCTCAGGTAGTGTAGATTCCAATTTGTTCATAGCATGACCCCTGGGGGTAGGGCAGGGCCACTACAGGGGGTCAAAGTTTTGCATAGGAATATATAGGAAATATCTTTAAAAAATTCTTCCCAAGAAGAACAAAGCTATTATTAGTCATATTAATACTGAAGCATCCTCAGTAATGTAGAATTGAATTTGTTCATATCATGACCCCCAGGCGTATGGCGGGGCCTCAACAGGGGGTCAAAGTTTTACATAGGAATAGATAGGGAAAACCTTTTAAAATCTTCGCAAGAACAGCACAGCCATTATTAGTCATATTAATATAGAAGCATTGTCAGGTAGTGTACTTTTAAGATGGTTCAAATCATGACCTCGTGGTGAAGGGGGGGGGGGGGGTAAGATGGGGGGGGGCACAACAGGGGATCAAATTTATGCATAGGAATATCTGGGAAATATCTTTAAAAATCTTCTTCTCAAGAACAGCAAAGCCATGATAAGACATGTTTATATGGAATCATCCTCAACTAGTGTAGATTGAACCTTGTCAAAATCATGACCCCTGGGTGTAGGGTGGGGCAGAAATGGGGGATCAAATTTTAACATAAAAATATAAAGAAGAAGTGTATGAAAATCGTTTCCCCAGGAACAGCAAAGCCATGATTGGTCATATTTATATGGAATCATTCTCCGGTAGTGTAGATTCAATTTTGTTCAAATCATGACCCAAGGGGTATGGCGGGGCCACAACTAGCGATTCAACTTTTACATAGGAATACATAGCAATTTTTTTTAAAAAAATCTTCTTCTCAAGAACAACAAAGCTTTGATTAGTAATATTTATATGGAAGCATCCTCAGGTAGTGTATTCAAATGTGTTCAAATCATGACCCCAGGAGTAGAGAGGGGCTACAACGGAGATCAAAGTTATGCAAAAGAATATAAAGGATATATCTATAAAAATTTACTTCTTAAGAACAGGAAAAGCATAATTAGTCATATAAATTCATAAACATCCTCAGATAGTGTAGATTCAAGTTTGTTCAACCCCCCCTCCCCCCCCCCCCCCCCGAACCACTTTTATATTTACACTTTTCAATAATGAATTAATTTCTGTTTTTTCCTAGCAAGAGTGCTCAGTTGAGCGATGTGACCCATGGGCCTCTTGTTTTTATTGTAAATGGTATGTAAATCACACAGATGTGTGTTGTAGATGTGTATTGTTACGGTGACGACTTATCCGCAAGAACCACTGGGCCATTTACAACCAAACCACAAAGCATCCTTGTCGCTTTATAGATATTGTCGCTGGCAACAATGTTTTCCTAACATTACTGCATTTATTGTCGCCCCAATCTTAGAGATACAGTTATATCTCGCAAAAATATCTGATCTACAGTATTCAATTTACTGTTTCCATTCACAGAGAGAGGGAGAAATTAGATTCGATCGAACGTTTGATAACAAATCTTACCATAAGCAAAAACCATCTTCCCGGTCAATAGAACTCCACCAAACAATAAAACAGCCAAATTGAACAGTTCATTCCGTTTGATATGGGGTAACATGAATCCAGTAAGTAAATTTTTATAAACAACCTACCGCAGTTTAAACTTTTGAGTGAGGTCATGTATGATAGCTATGGAAGGACAACTTTGGGTTTAAAATATACATGTACCAGGTATACGGGGGTCGTTCAAAAATAATGTAACATACAGTGTATTATTATAAATGTAGAAGTATTTCATTTTATTTTTCACAGTTGAAAAGTTCAATTAAAAAGCTTCTTATCACAGAAAACCCAATGATTTTTTTTCCTATTGACCGAGCAAAGAAATTCACCTTTAAAGTAAGCATGGCCACTTCACTGAGCTGAAAACTGTTAAAAGATGATCTCTGCCAAGAAGATGAAAATGGAAGCTTATGTGAAAAATGTGCTCCTTTACATAAATTGCTGAAGAACTCATATTAATGATATGATTTTTATAGTGGAAAGAATATAGTCTTTAATGCTGTGTAGTTTTCAGTGGGATTCAAAAATTTAAAGGTAAAAAAAGAGAGTTAAAATATAATGGTCAAACTGGTCGATTGAAATCCAAAGGGACACCAGAAAATATCGATGATGTGTGCAACATGATATCTGAAGATGCTAGATTAAAACTGAAAGACTCTGCTTTCAAACATTTCATCATCACAACATTTTATAGAATTCAGACAAAGGAAATGAATATAATAATATTGCTATCAGATATGTGCCTTATTTTCTT